AGAGAAAATATGATACATTTACACAATGGAGTACTATCCAGCAGAAAAAACAAAGGAATCCTGAGATTTGCAGGCAAATGGATGGCACTAGAAGAAACCATCCTGAGTGAGGGAATGAAGTCACAAAAAGAGAAACATGGCATGTCCTCTCTCATATATGGATTTTACCCATATCTCTGGGGAGTGCCAGCCTACAATCCCATGGCCAGAGAGTCTGGGAAACAGAAACTTCATTCAGTGGCTGATGGAAGCAGAGGCACTGCTCCCGAGACTAAGCACTGAGCTGAATTCAAGAAAGCCAGTAACAGAGAGGGAGGACTAATGACCAAAGGGATTAAGACTGGGCTAGTTTAACCCTCAGAAACAGCTGACCTGACAAGGGTTAGATCTTGAAACTCAGGCTGATGCCTGGGAATCCAGCATGGGACAGATCAAGACCCCCTGAATGTGGGTGTCACTGAGGAGGCCTAGGTAATCTATTGCGCCTTGGGCAGTAGATCAGTATTTATCCCGGGTATACAAATGTACTTAGGACTCCCATCAAACAATGAGGGATGCACTTTCACCCTGAACTCTTGGGGGAGGGTCTAGGCCCTGCCATGGATGAAAAGACAGACTATGGACACCCCCATGGAGGTCCTCACCCTCCCTGGGGAAATGAGGGGATAGTGGGGGGGTTGAGGGGAGGGCACGGGAAGAGGGGAGGGAAAGGGAGAGGGACCTGGAACTGACTTGTGAAGCAACCTTGTTTCTAATCTAAATTTAAACTTACAAATAAATAATAAAAAAGTTAAAAATTAAAAACAAATAAATAACATATCACTACAGCCTTCTCTGGAGATTCCTTAGAGAAAGTTTTATATTTTTTTAATTTTGAGATTAATGAACAATTGCATAATATAATTACTATGGTGCCATATTAAATAATGCTTAATGAAAAAACATTTTGTCAATTTATTAATCAGATACAGTATTACTTTATAACACAGAAAAAAAAAAGAAAATTCGGTAAAAAGAATTTGCATCCATGAAAGATTATAAGGAGCAACAAGGCAGATCAAATGACAAAGACACTTGTCACCAGGCATGATGGCAAACCTGAGCTTGATCCTCAGAACCCAAATAACAAAGAGAAAATCAAAAGTGGTGAGGCAAAAAACTTCCTTGTCATGATATAAAGAACAAACAAGTGTAATTGCCTTCTCAATACCCAAAACAATAAGTAACCACAGAATAAACCAAATATTCTGTTGTTAAGGTAAGAAAACATCCATTGGTTACTTTTTAGGCAAATAGGCAAAACACACAATAGATAGACCTTAGGTGAAACATTCTGTAGTTTGACTTTCAAAAAGCAATGACAGGCTCAAACTGTCTTACCTTATGTCAAGATGGAAGAGATACACTTCTTTGGTGGCTGACAATTGCCCCTTTTTAATTTAATTATTAATACCTGTGCTTCTGCTACAGCACAGATGTCTGTGTCTATCCTAGGTTGTCTTCTTCTACCATCCAGCCTTACTTGTCATTGGTACACACATTCCATCATACATGCCATGTGTTGGGCTGACTGGAGGCAAGAAGGTATTACCCATCTTTGACTACCAGACTCCACATAAAAAGGTTAGGAGAGAGAGGATAGGTTGATGCCATTCACCTTTGAGTCAAATTTCCATCGAGAGTTCACAAACAACATGATAATCATAGGTAAATGTATAATGCCAAGCAATTCTTATGCTCCTAGGTCTACAATATCTACTATGAAAAGAATAAAGGATGACCAACATTAACAGATCAATTAAATAATTGTAGTGTGATTATTACCACTGGACACACCATTAGCAAGATTACAATTCTCATAATTTTGATTCAGTCAAAGGACAACAAAATGTTCTAGTGATGGATGAAACATGAGTCTTTTTCCTCACCTAAAGTTGCTGCTTCTAACTTCTAAAGATAAGTTTGAGCTGCTATCATCCTTGAGTACTAAATACTGGCAGCAAATCTTTTGTTCTATTTCTCCCTATCAGTTAGTGGGTTCCCTTCAGTACCTCCAGTTTTGTTTCTCAACCAGTTTAGCACACAATTCTGAATTCCAATGATACTATACTGAAGAGTGCTTTTAGGTAAGCATCACCTCTATTATAATGTTTGATTGTTTCAATGGGTTTATTTTCCACAGAGGTGAAATCTCTGAGGCACCTGCTCTATTTCAACAACAGAAATGAGCTTCATTTGGCAATAATGAATTCCATGTCCCAAGATACAGTATGAATAAACTGCCAAGCATTTAGAATTTGGTTGGAACAACAATAGTCAAAACTGAGAAATTGGTGTGGCAGGATTGTCAAGAAAGTGAGCATCATTAGTTGTCATTATAATCCCCTTCCCTACTAGGACTGTAGAATGATGACATCAGGGGATCAGGAATATAGGTTCAGCAGATCACCCTAGAACTCCTCTGGAAACATCTCAGCAGTAATGATGTCATCAGGTCTGGTATTCATCTGCTCTACACACTGCATCAAGTTTCATTTTTTTTCTGTGGGGAAAAAAAACACAAACATGTCTTGACCCATATTAAAACAGGATTGGGTCCTTTACAACATAGACAGAGGGTATAATCCTGCCTTATTTATGAAGAATAAATATTAAACTACACAAATTTATGGATGTTCTGTGATATTTACTAAAAGAGAAATCACTTAAATGAAAAGCCAGGAAAGCTGAGAACCAAAGGTTCCTATGCTGCTCTCCAGGTCGAAACTGAAACTCAAAGAAAAAGAGTCTCTGCCCCATAGCACTATTTACCTGTACATTCTACGTACCTGTGAACACACCAACACAGGGTGGTCAGTGAAGTCACTCCCTATGTATTTGCTTTTTTAATTTGAAGTTATGTTAGCAAAGGTCCATGGGCATATTAATTGTATGCTCCATTTGAACTAGCACTGGTTTAGCAACCTCTGTTAACTGTCTAGGGGATCTAGGGACATAACTGCCCTTAAGGATTTCACTAAGGAGCTCAAGAATTCCAGTACACAATTTTTAATAGAGCAATGATCACTGAATATCTCCCAATAATTTTTGAAAATCATTCAAAATATGTAAGCTATTCTAATCCGTGCTATAAAGCTCCCATGAGCTGATAAGCAGCATTAGCATTTTCACAAATACTTGGCTGGACAGAGCTGAGTAGAATGGCATCTCCCTGAGACTACAAGGTCTCATTAACTCTTCTCAAATCCTGCATAAATCTCCATTCTCCAGACCTCTTTCCAAACATGAAAATAGGAGAATAGCAGGGGGAAATAGAAGGCATCATATCAAAATTATTCAGCTGTTCCTGTACTAACTGTTGGGCACCCCGTTCCTTCTCCTCTGCTAAAGGATATTGACCACCCATACAGACTCTCTGGACTCAAGGGCAGTGCTGCCTTCTGACACTCCCCTATGACTGGCTCCAAGTACCAGTCAATGAGGTGCAAACCACCAAACGTCCCTGTCTTATCTGCTCCTGGCTATGTAGTATTGTGGTAGAATGGGCCAGACTCATCCAGGGCAGTGGGGAAGGTGCCAGCCAAGGACTTACGGCAGGTACAGGGGCTAGGTTTGAGCAACAGCTGGCCAGGCTAACTAAGAGGGTCAGGAGGAGGCCACAACTTTGATTCCCTAATTCCCTGTACAGCTCAGAGATTGCTCCAGTGTGAGGGAGGAAGATTTACAAAATTAACAAATTCTAAAAATTTCTGTACTTGTTACAGACTTACATGAGCTTCTATAGACTCTAAACATACCCAGGTAAATGAACAATCCCCTGACTACTCTTTGTCCTGTATCTACATTTACATGCAATTTTTATTTCAGAGTTTTCTGACCACACTTCACTTCACATTTATCTGAGAACTTACATTTCATCTTTTCTCATGTACATCACTTCACTCTCTATGTCCAAGCCCTAGCATGTGAGGTGCCACCTGCAGTAACCCAAATTTGTGAAGGCATCTGTGTGGATCCCACAATGAAGTGTCATATGTCCAGTCCTCCTGGTTAGTTTGGTCCCTGCTTGGAAGGAGGGTGTTGATTGAAGAAAGAAATAAACAAACGATAGAGTCAGGACGGCACACAATGAATACCAGGATCAGTCCCAAGTTTATTGCTCAAAGCTCTTATAAACCCTAATCAAAAGGGGGAAGCAAAAGACTCCATTACCAAGATATAAGGAAGAAACAAGAGTATTTGCCTTCTCAATACCCAAGGCATCAAGTCATCACACCCTAAAACAAATATCCTGTTTTCAAGGTGAGACATTCATTAGCTACACTTTAGTCCCGATATCCTGTTGTCAAGGCAAGACACAAAATAAGCATTCTGTGGTTCAAACTTGAAGAATCAATAATAGGCTCAAACACTCTGACTTTATGTCAAAATGGAACAAAAACACTTATATTGACCCTGACAAATAACTTAATATCTCCAACCTCCAAAAACATGATGCATCACATGTGTACTTAGACATGCAAACACTTACACAAAGATGGAGGTAATAAAAGTTTGAAATTAATGAAAATGAAAAGAAAAATCAGAAGAAATGGTCACCGGTAAGTAAGAAAGGACTCCAGGATCTAGAAAAAGCAGTAAACATATTTTCCTAGAGTTTCCAAACCAAAATACAATTAGCCATGATCATCACTTCAGACCATAGTGGATTCTGTGTGACACCAAAGTCCAGAATTATAAAAAGATAAATCCCTCATATTCAAGCAATAGTTTGTGGTAATGTATTACAGAAGGAATAGATGGATAATACAGAGTTCTCTTTGCACATTTGTATAAAGGCGTTTCATACAAAAAAAAAACATAAGAGACATTGAACCCATTATTTTTAGTTAGTTCTGCAAGCATTTTCATGAGTGTTTCATCAGAGTCCATACTCTCAGGCAGAAGAAGGAAGTGTGCAAGTCCAGGGCAGTGTGTGGTTCAAGCAACAGCTGACTCTCTCAAAGGAGGTTTTTTGTTAGGGACTGAAGCACTGTGGGAGGAGTACCATAATGGTGCTGACAGAAATAATCTCCCATGTCTTCAGCCTGGACACTGCTGATAGTGAGAGTGAAATCTGTCCCAGACCCACTGCCTATGAAGCGATCAGGGATCCCAGTGTGCTGAGTGGATGCCCAGTAGATCAGCAGTTTAGGAGACTGCCCTGCTTTCTGCTGGTACCAGGCCAAGTAGTTCTTCTGATTTGCACTGTATAAAAGACTCTGACTGGACTTGCAGCTGATGGTGACCTTCTCTCCTGGTGACAGAGCCAAAGTGGATGGAGACTGGGTCATCACGATATCTGCACGGGCACCTGCAGTCAGGAAAACCAATAATCATGTATAAATTGTTTTAAAAAATGTAATACATAAAATTTGTCATTTAATGTCCTTGTAGTGCCATGTTGACAAAGCATTAAGGCATAAAAATATTACACTTTGGCATACATTGTAAATGTCTTATATACAAAGAAGTAACTCTGAAAAACATTATAATATTTTTCTCACCAGATACCAAGAGCAGAAGAGACATGAGGACCTGGGTGAGTGACTCCATCTTGCTCCCCCTGCCTGTCTGATGATGCTCAGTTCTCACTGTCAAGGTCTGGTTTATAAAATTCAAGCAGCTGGGCTGGATTGGAGGGGTTCATGCAAAGCGGTCAACAAATGCAAAATCAGATGCATGGGCAGCAGGTGTGAGAATGGCTGGTGTCAACCAACAGGCAAATGTACCATCACAAAAGCATGAGATATCACTGAAAGATATTGGCTTTCAACTCTCCAACAGATATTACTAGATTCCCTAATATAACCATTGGTTAAAATCTGAAATTGAGTAGCTCCTATAAGGCAAAGGACACAGTCAACAAGCCAAAAAGGCAACCCACAGATTAGAAAAAGGTATTCACTGACCCCACATCTGACAGAGGCCTGATCTCAAAAATTTACAAAGAACTCAAGACGTGATTCTCCAAAACAACAAAGGAACAAATTAAAAAGTGGGGGATCTGAACTAAATAGAGAGTTCTCAATTGAGGAGACTAAAATGGCAGAGAGACATTTGAGAAAGTGCTCAAAATTCTTAGCCATCTGGGAAATGCAAATAAAAACAACTCTGAAATAAAATCTCACTCCTGTCAGAATGGCTAAAATCAAAAACACCAATGACAGCTTATGCTGGAGAGGATAGGGAGAAAGGGGAACACTCATCCATTGCTGGTGGGAGTGCAAACTTGTACAGCTACTTTGGAAATCAGCATGGAGATTCCTCAGGAAAATGGGACTCTGTCTACCACACAATCCAGCAATTCCACTCTTAGGCATATAACCAAAAGATGCCCATTCATACAAGGATGTCTGTTCCACTATGTTCATAGCAGCATTATTTGTAATAACTAAATCCTGGAAGCAACCTAGATGCCCCCCAACTGAAGAGTGGATAGATAAAATGTGGTACATTTATACAATGGAGTACTACTCAGCGGAATAAAAAACAACAGAATTTAGAAATTTGAAGGAAAATGGATGGCAATAGAAGAAACCATCCTGAGTGAGATAACCCAGTCACAAAAAGAAAAACATGGTATGTACTCTCTCATATATGGATTTTAGACATGGGTCAGGGGGGTGTCAGCTTACAATCTCAGGGCCAGTGAGTCTGGGAAACAGGGAGGTTCCCAAGAGATATGCATTACACCCCAGAGAAGTGGAAAGAGGCAAGATCTCCTGAGAAGATTGGAAACATGGGGGGAGAAGACAGGGAACCAGGAAAAAGAGAGGGGGATAAGAGGAGGGTAGAAGAAGACATGGGGGTGAAGGAGGGCTGAGTCGGGGGAGAATAGAGGAGACCAGGATGAGAGATACTACAAGAGTTGGAGTCATTATAGCTTTGAGGATGGAGCTGACACTAGTGAGATTCCCAGAGATGTACAAGGATAACACTAACTGGAAAACAAAGTAATAGTGAAGAGACTACATTAATAGGCCCTAACTGATGATAAGGTTGATGACTACCTTATGTGACATCCTGGAATCTTCATCATATGACTGATGGAAGCAGAGACAGATAGATACACACAACTAAACACTGAACTGACCCCCTGGAACCTAGTGACACAGATGGAGGAGTGATGAGCAAGGCAGTCAAGACCGCTCTGGTGAAAACCACAAAGACAGCTGACTGGACAAGGGGGAGATCTTGATCTCTAGACTGATTGCTAAGAATCCAACAGGGGACTGATGCAGACTCCATGAATGTAGTGTCAGTAAGGAGGCGTCAGAAATCTCTGGGGCTTTGGGTAGTAGACTATTGCTCACCATGGCATACAAATGAACTTTGGGAGCCCATTCCACATGGAGGGATGCTCTCTCAGCCTGGACACATGGGGAAGAGTCTAGGTCCTGCCCGGGATGAAATGACAGACTCTGCTTATCCCCCCCCCCAAGGAGGGCCTTACCCTCTCTGGGGAATGATGTGGGGATTGGGCTGGTGGGGGCTGGTGGAGGGAGAAGGAGAGAGCCGGGATTTTCATTTGAAGCATGCATGTTTCTAATTTAAATAAAAACCTTCCATAAAAAAAATCCAAGACATATTTAAATCAGGTGACCTTTGCAGAAACATTAGAAGAGGTATATCAGATTGACAGTCCTAGGGAAACAGCATGTTCAAAAAAATTACAACAAATTAGGTAATGAAGAGTAAAAAAAATGTGCATCAAAAAAATAAGAGTGTACAAAAGAAAAGAGGAAAGCCAAAAACATGAGAGAAACCATGCTAATTTTTCTCATTATCTCCCATCTCCAAAGCCACTCTTAATATTAAGGAAAATGAACAGTGCCTCAGATATGTGGGCTGCAGATTCTGAACCAAACATGGAACAGAAATGCAAGGAGAAGCCCTTATCCACTCTGTGGGAATCCTGGGGGCATTAATTTAAACCTGAAATCAGAAGTGCTGAAGGAGGGGATGGAGAGAGAGCTGGGATTGAATGTGAAGCAAACTTTTCTTCTAAAAAAATGTAATAAACTAAAATGAAAAAAAAGTTGAAGGCACCTACAGGAAATATCCAAAATTGGCCTACGGCTTCAACACATGCACGTATGTGTGCCCACACACACACACACACACACACACACACACACACACACACCTACACCATATATACATACATGCACACAAAGTAATTAAAACAAATCGCTGCTTTTATAGATATATATGTCCTGTAGAGGTAATTGTTAAACCTTAATTCTAAAAGCTTGCTTAATATCATTATCTATATTGTGAGAGCAAGAATAGATATTCAGCATGTGCCACATTCTTTCAAGATTGTTTGTCTGACTCAGATATGTAAGATATGGCTGTGGCCAAAATACAAATGTATGCTTCAGCAAGATTCTCATCCTTCTCCTTTACCCTCTGTGACTCTTTAGGGATTATCCTGAAAATTGTGTGAATGGGAATAATTCACAGCATTAGAAAATAATATGTAGGCAAAAAATTCTGTCCTCTCAGGTTCAGTTGACTTCTCTAGCTATTGACATCCTTTGCACATTCACTTTGACATTCCATTAAATAAATTTCTGCTTTGAAGACTCTCCTTTAAATTGGTTGTAACACTTCAATGATTTTCTCATTTATAAAATAAATAAAATATTCAACTTGCAAAAAACCTGGAATGAATTATGTTTTGTCTTTCTCAGTACCTTCTGTAGAATTAAAGGAATTATTAGGGTGCTTCAAGAACAATAACAGGCTCTGATTGGCCACTTAGTAGAGAGCAATACCACAAGGGGATGTTCCTACTGCTTAATTCAATACTTTTTCTTTTGTTCCATGATTTTCACAAATGATGGCACTCATCATTTCTATCAGACCCGAGAACTTGAGTTTCACTGAACAAACTGAGGCTTTAACTGAACACTGTTTTCTTATTTTGACTCAATATTCAAACATGGAATCACTAACACAAATTTTCCTACACCAATCACTTCCCATTAAGTGTGCAAAGTAGCTTGAATGCTTCTAGAATAATCAAATGTTATGATTTTTAAACATATCAGAATTTCAAACTTCCAATTCACACTCTTTTCTTTAAAGTGAGGTTAAAAACACCTTAAGAATTATTTGTGGGATTGTGATAGATAAAAATCCCTTTTGAGCGATGAATGTTGCTGTTTACTCTCCAGATATACTCAAAACATGATTATATGGTTATGTTTCTTTTTATTTATGGTGACTAGTGTATAGTAGAAAATATTTGACATTAATCTAAGAGCCTAAAAGCAAAATAGAACAAGGGAGGTTTTGGGGTCCTATATCACTTATCATGGATGTGTCATTGACTACCTAAAGTTTTAACACCAGACCTGAATTTTTTGAAAGACTTACCACCACACAAATCAGCACCCTGGGGAGCCAACATTTTATCACATGGACTCAGGGGGTCATTCCAGATCCAAATGTGAAAATTCCTTTAGCTAGAGAGAAATGCACTGACTTCCACTCAAGCCCTTGTGTTATAAATAACATGCATGGATATCTGGAGTGAAGACCTCCTGACTAGCCAAATACTTTAAATGAGATGTGGGGCATTACTTACATCTTAAATTTTGACCAATCATGCTCCTGTCAATGACTCTCATGCAGATGCTGTAACAGAGGTAAGTGGTTGTCAGAAGTGAACATTACCTCAGACTTGGCTGGGATTTGTGTCAAGGTCTGGCCTTGTGGGTGATTGTTGGTGAATCTGTCAAGAGTAAAAAAGTACAATGTCAAGATTGCCATTTTTACTCTCACCACTAGACAGGAATACCAAACAGAAACTCAACAAAGAAGCAAAAGGGCTAATAGAAGTAATGACCCAACTGGGATTAACAGATATCTATAGAACATTTCATCCACATAAAAAAGAATATACCTTCTTCTCACCACCACATGGAACCTTCTCAAAAATAGACCACATACTTGGCAACATATCAAACCTCAGCAGCTACAAAAAATTGGAATAACTCCATGCATCTTATCAGACCACCATGCTTTACAATTAGAATTCAACAACAACACAAATTGCAGAAAACCTACAAACTCATGGAAATTGAATAATGCTCAACTGCACCATCCCTGGGTCAAAGAGGAAATAAAAAAAGAAATTAAAGACTTCCTCGAATTCAATGAGAATGAAGACACAACATACCCAAACCTATGGGACACTTTGAAAGCAGTGCTACGGGGGAAGTTCATAGCGCTAAATGCTCACATGAAGAAACAGGAGAACAGTTATACCAGAGAATTAACATCAAAGCTGAAAGCTCTAGAACACAAAGAAGCACACTCCCCCAGGAGGAGTAGACGCCAGGAAATAATCAAATTGAGGGCTGAAATCAATAAAGTAGAAACCAGGAAAACAATACAAAGAATCAACGCAACGAAGAGTTGGTTCTTTGAGAAAATCAACAAGATAGACAAACCTTTGTCCAAACTTACCAAACAGCAGAGAGTGAACACGCAAATTAACAAAATTAGAAATGAAAAGGGGGACATAACAACAGACTCTGAGGAAATCCAGAGAATCATTAGGTCATACTTTGAAA